CGAGACAAAAATTCGTAGAAGAATGAAATTCGGCAAGAGCCTGAGCAACCAGATCGAGGAAACCTTGCCCGAATGGAGAGACAAGTTCCTGTCTTACAAGGAGCTCAAGAAGAAGCTCAAGGTCATGGAGCCACGTGGCGTCGACAATCGCCCAAACAAACGTTCCAGATCCGATCCCAATTCTGTTGACGCTGACATGACCAAGGAGGAGCTCGATTTCATCCGCCTCCTCGAGGACGAGCTTGAGAAATTCAATTGCTTCTTCGTCGAGAAAGAGGAAGAGTACATCATCAGATTGAAGGTACCCCCAAAGGAACAGAACCTCTTGTTATTTCCTCCTATGTCCTGATTCTTCTTGTTGATTCAAGGTTACAAGTCGAATTATTAACGTGATCCAAGGAAGAATCTTTAGGTACTTTTTGGTTTTCAAACTGTTTAGACTTTTTCTCTTAAATCGTAGGAATTGAAGGACCAAGTGGCAAAGGCAAGGAATTCCAATGAAGAGGTGATAAATATTAAGAAAGAGATTGTAGACTTTCATGGAGAAATGGTCCTCTTGATGAATTACAGTGCTCTTAACTATACAGGTAAAACTTTCTTTCTCTATTTTTAAAAGCAGCTCATTATAACAGCCATGTTCAGTTTAGCATTTCAAAGTGGTCAATGGGCATTGCTTTTAGTAAGAACTTGCATTTGTGTTGACATTAACGTGTAGGGAAAGAGTCAGATTCTTCACGATCGGTGTATTTTATTTGTTTATCAAAAATGAAGGAATATGCTCTAATTTGTTTAATTGCCCACTCGTCGTAGATTCTTTCCTTATGCTTCTCCTTAAGAACAACTCGAAGGTGGTTTGCCTTTATTCTTATTCGCTAAATGTGTGTAGAATTGGGTTCTATTGGTTTACAGGATTAGCAAAGATTCTAAAAAAGTACGACAAAAGAACGGGTGCTCTTATCCGACTACCATTCATCCAAAAGGTTCTGCAAGAACCTTTCTTCACGACTGACCTGCTCAACACATTTGTGAAAGAGTGCGAGGCGATGCTCGACCGCCTCTTCCCATGTTACAAAAGTCGTATCCTAGAGGAAGAAGGAGAGCCAACAACTTCTGGAGCAGCAACCGACAGTCCTGATCTTCTCAGAGTTCCAAAAGAACTGTCTGAGATCGAGTACATGGAGAGCTTGTATATGAAGAGCACTGTGTCTGCATTGAGGGTATTAAAGGAAATCCGCAGCGGTAGCTCCACAGTTAGCGTCTTCTCGTTGCCACCGTTACAGGGGAGTGGATTAGAAGATGATTCCTGGAAGAAGAAAGTTGGCGTCCTCGAACAAGTAGCCAAATGAATTATGACTTTTTCTTATTTTTGAATCTCTTTTATCTTTTTTTTTTAAATTAGTTATGTATCTTTTAAATTAGTTATGTATAAGTATACACTTACAGTTGTAAAAGATGAAACAGTGATCATCCACATTCAAGACATAGTTGCGTGTACTTCTCTTCTCTTGCTGCATATCATCAAGAAAATCTTCCTCAGTAACACCACTCATTATATACGCATTCTCTGTAACACCAATTTGGTTTTTCTATATCCTTTTAGAATCAAGATATGTGAGGAAAACGGTTTATCCGATCCCCAACTCAGGATATGCGTTATTATACCGACATGAACTACAGAAGCTTGTTTAAACATACCCGTACTTACATATTTTACAAATTTTCAATATGAACTATGAAATCGTAGCTAAAACCAATATTGAACGTAACAAAGTTAGTCAAACCTTTAACAATTGTTAAGAGTATTCTTGTAATTTTTTAGAAAAGAGCATCAATAAAGATGCAAACATTCTTTGAATAACTCCAAACATGTTAAAAACAAAATACAAAAGTAGAAATATTTAGAAGTCCCTAACTCTTCTTTCTCTCTCTCATGATCACAAAACTGATCAAATCTCTTGATAAAGTAAAAGAGACTACAAGCCAAAACATAAATAGTTGTTTCTGCTACCAAGCTGTTGCCCTAACCTCTGACGTGTTCTGTCCTTTCTTGGCCTTGTTCTGATCTGAGGATGAGTCACCCTCCCCTTGAGTCGGCTTCCTCCTTTAGGCCCTAGGCATGTTCCTTCTGTACTAGTAGATGATAGGGGCTCTCTCCAGCTCTCTGCTAACAATA